ATTTGTTGAACTTTTCATTTAAATGTTGAAAATAATGTGCTTTAGTTGTTGTTGTGACTGTTTTTACAAAGATATAATATTCAATTGTTTGATTAATTTTTAGGGGACTTTGTCATATAAGGGGAGGTAACTCAGATAATTTAATTTTACAAAGGAATGTATATGAATTTTACTGATTTTGTGACTACAATTTTTATCTTTAATTTTTCTTTATATTTCACAATATACATCTTCTCATTTTTCATTAAAATTCTGTTGTTTGTTTTTCTCCCTTTTCACATATAACTTGTTTTTTCCATGTATAATCTTACAATATCCAACAATTTGGCACACAAATTGTAGCTTGAAAAAAGCTCTTTAACCTGTACTTTTTATTATATATTTGACTATATTTTGGCAAAGTATTAAAAAATCTCTTGTTTTTTTTACGTTTTGATCCCCCTTTTTTTTTTAGGTTTTTTGGTGATTTTTGAGAGGTCACCAACATTCTATCCAAATATAAAAAATTGGACAATAGTTATTTCATTTTACATGATTTTACTTTTCATGTGAATATTTAATCAGAAAATATTAGTATGAACATGTATAAACTGGTAGACATACTTTACTGTCTAGTCTCTCAATAACCACCTTGATAAGTATTTATTACCTACTACAGATACAAGTTCTACTAATGAAACATCTCACTAACTATAGCTTACAGTTCTTTGATCAGGACTGGATTGATACAAACAAAACAATAAAGACACAACATGATTCTCTTCTGTTTTAAAGCCAGATTATTCAGAGAGAAAATCAGATGTAAAGCTTTAGAAAATAGGAAAAAATTTCTGAACTTGATTTTAATTATTTTAAGCTCAACATTGGTGAAGAGAAGTACTATGTCTGTTTACTGGTTTATCTTTAAAAACTATACCATGTGTCCTGAAAATTAAGAAATTTCATTCACATTTCATGGTAAAGAGGTTTGGTATTGGGGTATAAACAAGATACAAAAAGTGATAAAAAAGAATTTGAATTTTGCTTAAGTGTAGTTTATACTTTGCTTTATTTTTAAATATAATAAAAAGGACACTGGGCTTGTTTTCAAGCTTGTTTGTGCTAGATAATGACATATTTTGTTTGGATTATACTGGGAAAAGCAAATTGAAATAGAAAGAAAACTAAATGATAGAATTTTAAAATGAAAGATGATAAGCCATAGCTCTCTTATAAACTGCTGTCAGGGGAAAAAAACAGTTGGGTCACCATACTAGTTTTCTTGCTAAGTGTTTCATTGGAAATTGTTACACTTTATTCTACCTTGTAAAACTTTAAATATTAAAACAATGGAATATCTGCAATACTTCAAATTATCATTATTGCAATACCACTGAGGATTATGATCATAAGTTTCAGAAATGTCACTTTCTTGATGATTTCTTGAGTAAAATAAAAAAGTCATCTTGAAAAACTGAATATTAATAATAATATTCTAACATTTGAGAATTTAGTATGGGGTTATAAACAATATTATGAAATTAATTATTTGATTACAATAATGATGTTTTGTATATACAAAGCTAATTACACGTCTGAACAGAAAACAGAATTTATAAATGTATACGCCGTATTTAAAGCAGAATTCTGTATATAGTTACAAACTGCAGGCAAAATGTAAGAATACAAAATATAAATGTATATTAGATAGAACTGCCAAATTGTTAAAATAATTTCTTTGTTTGAAAAGTATATGATCTAGCAAAAATAAATGAATGAATAAATTAATAAGAGATAAATTTTACAAATTACAGATCTGGAACTGATATGTGATGATTGATAACGGGACTCTTTACCATTAAAAAAAAGAAGATTAAAAAATGAAATATTTATATAATCTTAATTTTCTTTTTAACTACAAATAATTTTTTATTCAGACATACCTGTGAATAGGCTATAGCACATTATTTTTTTTTTTTTTTAAAGTCATAGCCGGTGTGACAAATTCTGTTTCAAAACGAGGAAGATATTTGATAGAAAAAACAATTAACACGTTCACGGAAGAAATATGAAAATTTTCCGGAACAAAACTAAAAAATTATTGCTAGATGATATATATAGTAAATTGTTAAATAAATAAGTCTCATTGATGTATACTTGTTTATTTCATTGCTGATAATGTTATAATTTAGCTGTAATTAAAACTAATGTTAATTTGATATAATGATTCTTACCAGAAAACAACCCTGGATTTCTGGTATTAACAAACAGGGACTCTTCACTGGAATACTGGACTAGTGAAGTACATTGTTAACAGCAGAAGTGCAATTTTTTGTTGAATAGAAAAAATAAAAATTTTCTTGCTACATTACAAAATTACAAAATAGATAATTTTACGTTATAAAACTAAATTATCTGAGTTATCTTTCCCTTGTCAAGCAAAATTTTATTTTTTGGGGAATCTATCAAAATTTTTTCTATATTTTGTTTTGTAAAAAAGGTTGTTTAAGATCACATAATGTACTTTTATATAGATGGGAAGTTTTAAAAACAGATTGCTGAAAAAATATGCTTATTTTATATAAAAAAAAAAATCTTGACCAATAGTGTGCTGTCATTTGGAATTCAAAATGGTGTGAGACTCCATATCATTTTAAGTTTTTTGCCAGAATTTCTTTTTGGTTGTACATCTGAGTTGAGTTTCTCTGATACTAAATGCTATTCTGTCATCTACATCTGAGTTGAGTTTCTCTGATACTATGTGCTATTCTGTCATCTACATCTGAGTTGAGTTTCTCTGATACTATGTGCTATTCTGTCATCTACATCTGATTTGAGTTTCTCTGATACTATGTGCTATTCTGTCATCTATATCTGAGTTGAGTTTCTCTGATACTATGTGCTATTCTGTCTTCTACATCTGAGTTGAGTTTCTCTGATACTGTGTGCTATTCTGTCATCTACATCTGAGTTGAGTTTCTCTGATACTGTGTGCTATTCTGTCATCTACATCTGAGTTGAGTTTCTCTGATACTATGTGCTATTCTGTCATCTACATCTGAGTTGAGTTTCTCTGATACTATGTGCTATTCTGTCATCTACATCTGAATGAGTTCCTCCGATACTGTGTGCTATTCTGTCATCTACATCTGAGTTGAGTTTCTCTGATACTGTCTGATATTCTGTCTTCTACATCTGAGTTGAGTTTCTCTGATACTATGTGCTATTTTGTCATCTACATCTGAGTTGAGTTTCTCTGATACTATGTGCTATTCTGTCATCTACATCTGAGTTGAGTTTCTCTGATACTGTGTGATATTCTGTAATCTACATCTAAGTTGAGTTTCTCTGATACTATGTGATATTCTGTCTTCTACATCTGAGTTGAGTTTCTCTGATACTATGTGCTATTCTGTCATCTACATCTGAGTTGAGTTTCTCTAATACTGTGTGATATTCTGTAATCTACATCTGAGTTGAGTTTATCTGATATTATGTGATATTCTGTCATCTACATCTGAGTTGAGTTTCTCTGATACTATGTGCTATTCTGTCATCTACATCTGAGTTGAGTTTCTCTGATACTATGTGATATTCTGTCATCTATATCTGAGTTGACACTATGTGCTATTCTGTCATCAATAGTTGTATGGTATTGCATTGATGAGTTTTGAGCGTTCTTAGATCACTATTAACCTCCATTAAGGTCATCTTTGATCTTGGTTTAGTTTTTATTTTCATGTTTAGTTGTGAGACAGTTCGTCATCTAATTAGGTGGTATAGAAATGCTCAACTGTTGTAACCCCCCGTAATGGATTAAACTTCAATTTAGGGGTTAGTATTATCCAATGTAACATAATTAAAAGGTAGAAAGACCTTTTTATGCCCCCGCTGTAGCGGAGGGGGCATTACGTTTTACCCTTGTCCGTCCGTCCCTACGTCCCAAAATTAGTTTCTGTTCTCCAACTTAAGTTTGCCTCAACCAAATGTTATGAAACTTATACACAATGCTTATTACCACAAAACAAAGATCAAGTTTGAATTTTGGTGGCATCACTTTTACAATTCTAGAGTTATGCCTCTTTACAAATGGAAAAATTGCTGAATTTTTCGTTTCTGTTCTCTAACTTTAGTTTGATGAATCTTCTACACAATGTTATTACCACAATACACAGATCAAGTTTGAATTAAGGTAGTGTCACTTTTACAGGTCTTGAGTTATGTCCCTTTATAATGTTGTATGCAAGCGGGGGCATCATCTGTGTCCCATGGACACATTCCCCATTTATTTTTAATTATGCTTAATGAATTATAACAAGCTTAACTTTATTGTAATAACAAAGTTTTTCATCATTGTGAATCTTGTGTGAATTGATGAAGTTAATTTATTTATTCTTTCACTTCATGAGGAGTATTATATATATCAAAAGATTTCTTGCTGTCTCTAAAACAAACACATTTTTACAAAACTGGCAAAAAATTAAAAGCATGGAAGATAAAATATGTTATAAGTTAATTATAGTCAGATTTAATTTCCCATCAAATCATTTTTTTTACTATCAAAACATTTGGTAGACTGTGCTATGTTGATTTCAGAGTATAATTGGCAGCTGTCCAGTGGTGAAATTGACAACCAACATCTTTTTTGGGGCAACAGGTTTTCATTTGATACTAAACACAAGCAGCTTTTGTAAACAAACTCCTGACTGTATTGAAGAAGATTTTAAACATTTCTAGTGAGAGATAGTGTCAGTGAAAAGACAGTGGCAAATGTTTGAAATAATAGGAGAATTTATTGGCAAATAATGAAAGGCAGATGTAAAGATGATGATAAAATGATTTGTATGTTCTGTTATTTGGCTTATCATTTTCCTTATTAAACTTCTTGCAATTTAATTTGATTGATGGAAATATGTTGATATGCTAATATAATTATAGTTTTAAGTTCCGTGAAGATAGTGATGTATCATATGGTTTGTCAGTTTTTAGGAAGTAAAGTATTTGTGTTTTTTTTTTTTCAGCATTTTATACCTATCCGAGAAGACAGTCCTGTTCGTCATTACATACGGGAAGGTTCAGCATTCAGTTGTTATTCCCCTTAGAGATGAGATGTGGACCAACACTGAACTAATACAGTTAGTGGTAAACTGAATCAAAAGACATGTACCCTTCATTTATAATGTATTTGGTTGTTATTTATATAATTTTCCACAATGAGTTTGAGTTTTTAATGATTTTGTGTACTGGCCATCTGTTAACAAGTGGTCAACTTGTAAAGATAAATGGTGTTGAGGAATATTTAAGAACCACATAACAAATGTGAATATATCTTGTAGATATTTAAAGATTATGAGTGAAGTTAAAGGGTTTACTGGATGTATGTCCTTTCTAACCTACACAACAAATTTAGCTTTATCAAATATTTCATTTCCATTTTAGAGTTGTTCAGTTCTATTCAATTCTTGATAAGACAAAATGTCATATTTTTCTTACCTGCCTACCTGGTATTCAAAAATTGGATAGGAAAAGGACAAGCCAATTGGATTTAAATTTTGGTCTAACTAACACTTATGAGTTTTTTAGCCTGCCAGAATATCAGTCTGAAAAAATATTGATAATATTGAGTTATTTTATGGAATTACATTGTACTTTTTTCATCATTTAATCTTCATAATGTAAAAATTCCTATCATTTTATAATAGCAGCATCTTATCCATATATGCAAGTATATAATTAGCACTTATATTAAAAGTTTAAAGGTCAGTGTGGATTCTTCTCATCAGGATGACTGTGTACAATGTCAAAACAAAATGTTTATGTATGTTTATTGTGGAATAATTTAACTATTCCTATAAAACATATTTCATATGTATGTATTGCTTAAATTTTTCAAATCATCAACCATTCATTTTGATTGTACCATTTGTGGTAACATCTGTTTAAATATATTTATATATACCAAGGCATTTGTGGAATTTTTTTATGGGTAGATTGAGTCTGGATTGACTGTGCAGTGTTTTTGGTGACATTATTTCCACATTGCATGGTATATACCACCAAAGCAATACATATTACCAAGATGTGGCGAACATCAAAAATAATACATGTAATTCATTTAAAATGTGTAGTAGCCTGATTTTGAAATGAGTTATCTCCCATTGACCATGTATACATTAATATGTATATATATATGTAAATATTTGTGCATGAAAGATATTCTATAATTTTATTTAAATTGAAATATTTCTTTTTCTTGATCAGTCGGTGACTATGTGTGTTTTGTTCTCAGATTAATGTATCACAAATTTATTTTTTTATTTTTCAAAAATTGAAATTCCAAAGGGTTGTTATGATTTGATGATAAACTGAAAAGGTATTTATTTTCCTCTGTTGTGTACATGTGTATGTGTTAGTTATGTGTATATAGAATTTATATCTAGTTTTTTCATTTTGTTTTTTATTGACCCATGTAAAACTTTCCCAACTGTGTTTAATAATTTGATTTTTTTTATCTGGTGCTAAATTTTAGTTATATTGTGTGTGGACGATATATGATTACTGAACCTTTCAGAAGAAGTAGATTTCTGATTCCTTGTCATTGAGGAAGTAATTAGTAGGAATTTTCTCCATCAACCTTCTTTCTTAGAGGAAATGTGGTCCTTTGAAATATTTTGACCTTTTGAGCCTTTTATTGATGAAAAATGAAAAAAGTATACAAATTTTTCATAGTTATGGTATAATGTTTTGTGTCCAAATTTTATCATAAAAACAAGGCTGACTTAACAAATAGAGCCATTGGTTATATATTTTCAAAGCATGTCTAGTTAGAACTTTGGTGAGAAAAATATTATTCTTGAAACGTTTTGAAAGAAATTTGCTCGCTGTAAATTTGAGGAGAAATAATGTTTCACTTACTTCACAGAAATATTTACTTGAATGCCCTCAAATTGGGACAGCAAAATGGTTCATTGTCACTAAACAAAGTAAATAATGTAGAATTTGGGTTCATCCTCATCATTATTTTCGATAATTTTCAATTCTGTCTTAGTCAGATAATTTGGTATTATATCTATTTAAAAAAGACAGTAGGGAATTTTTGGCTGTAATGGTTTTTCTCAAGATTCTGGTGTATCACTTGCAACACATGTAGCTATTTATATTTTCATTAGCTGGTCACCTGTTTTCATTGTTAAGACAGTCAAATGGCAATTACTTGTGGTCTTAAAATTTGTACCAGTTTTGTCCACATGGTCATATTTAAATAAACAAAAGCCACTGGATGTTAAGCAAGCAACAATCAGTTAAATATAGAAAACAAGCTTGGTGTAGCAACTAAATCCACAAGATATGCTTGTGTTGTAAGATAGCACTATCAAATTTAAGTGGCAATCATAAGAGAGATACCAACATTACAAAATTGTTTTGATAGGAAAATCATATTTACAGATCAAATGCCTTATTCAAACTGTTTAAAGATAGTTGTGTTTTAGCCAAAATGTATATTCACTCATTTTAATATTGTGTGAAAGGGTATAGAATAACTGTGATACTGTTAATATTCATGACCAAACTGTATTCACAGTTATTTCCCTTGTTTTTGTTACTTCCCTTTGTAGTTGCAAGGTATATTTTAGGGTTTATCTATAAAATGTTCACAACCTGTCTTAACAAAGCACTTGTGAAATTTTTGTTTTTTCTGGGGTAGGAAAGCACCATAAATCCATATATTTTTTGTCTCCTTGAATTCAAAAATAGAAAATATATTTTTTGGTACAATGTCAAAATCCAAAAACAAAGATGGGTACATTTATAACAGGACAAAAAAAAAGAATTTATATACCTTGCAATTGGATAGGGGTAAACATTGATACTTGTAAATATTTGTACTATTGTTATTCAGGGTCTTGGTTGCAGTACATTAAGTGTACTATAGATAACCACTCAGAAATGTTGTTTATTCATATGAAGCAATATTTTTTTTTTATTAGCTTTTTCCTAATAATAGATATGGGAAGGAACATTAACATCTGCAGATTTAAAATAAAGCTGCAAGTGGCAAATAAACTTTATTATCTCATCAGACTGTTAGCCAAGCAGATGCAAATTTTGTTAAGATAGAGCTGCCAGCCCTTTAACAATAAAATCAGAATAATTGCACTAAGCATTAGTTTAGCATGTTCACCATCAATATTCTCTGTGTGTGAGTCATCAGGTATTGATCAGAGTGACATAAGAGCTAATACTAGGATAAAACTGTTACAAGGCCAGTCAAAGTCAGTTCCTTGTTTCAGTTAAGCATCTTCTTCAATTTTCAGCTCACTTTCCAAAGCATCTACTAAGCTTGCATCCATCACTTTGTGTCTATCGTCTGTTATTTCAATTTGGTCTAAAAACTTTTTTGTATATGATTATTTACTCCCCTCATGACAAGTCTATACTAATGTATGTCTAATGACTTGGTCAAAGTTGGGGTTTTTGGTGTCAATGAAAAATCAAAGATGGCCATAAGGGTAAGAAACTGCATTAGAAATCCAGGAAATTATCTTTTAAGTACAATTTTACAGTTGATTAAATTTCTTAATTAACTCATGTTTCCTTTAAAAATTGAAAACAGTGATGGCAGCTAGTGCGGGTCATACTTTAAACAAACACTGGAAAAATATTTGCAAAACATTAATCATAGGGTATCAGTTAAAAAAAGTAGGTTATAAAAATTAATCATTTTAGAGAATTAGAATTTTTTTTTAAAGATTTACATTAAGGTGAAGGTTATTTTGAGCCAGAGTTTGTCATGTCATACTATATATTCTTTTTGCTTATTGTGTAGATGATTGACCATTAGGTATAAATCATTACTGCATGTAATTGAAATTCATTGATACCTTTGAAATCAATCTGCCATAATAGAATTTACTTTGAGTAGATGCCCCATCCCCTGCATAGTCCAAATACTTTGATTTCTACTATATCACTAATATTTCATGTTCTATTATTGTTTATACTTATAAGGACAGTTTTTCCTTCTACAAGATATTTCCAAATTACAAAGAAATTCAGAAATTACATTGAGTGTAAAAGGCTTTCAAGCCAATCAATGTAATAACTAGAAGATAAAGGGCAATGAGATTTGGTGAAAATAACAAACTCAGACTTTTATATGGTTTCCATTAGCTGACAGTGCATTCTAGGAAGTGTTAGAGCATCAGTGCACACCTTTAACAAACTACTACTATAGTTTGACAATAGATTAGCCATTTATCCATCAATTACATAGCAAAAGAATTATGTAAGATTTTTGTAAAGTTCATATTTGTGTTAAATTAATTACCTAATCAACTTTCAGGAAAGTTTTGTTTTATTTTTTTCCACAAATTAGTCCTTTATAAAACTGTATTATTTTTATTTCATTCAAGAAAGTTGTCTTCACTATATATTGTTACAATTTGTTTCATTTTTATGCTTTAATCATGTGTTGTAACAATGTTTTATTTCTCAGTTTTCCAATGATCTCAGACCATTTATGTAGTATAATGGTTACTTTGACAACATCTCCCTACATTCCAACAATAAAACTCTTTTTTTTTAAGGAATGCCACAAAGAGGTACAAGTTCAAAATAGCTATCAAAATAATATTTAATTAAAAAAAAAACTCTTTTTACACATTTCTGAACATCAGAAATGCAACATCTAGATGACTATTTCGTAAGTCTTTAGACTTTTTGGACAACAGAATATTAGAATTTCTTCAAATCAAATTATTATAGTTCTGTATTGTAAGATATATTGTCTTCAATTTTGTGTATCACACCTAATTTTGGTGGTGTCTTAAGAAATCCCATGGTTTCAATTTAAAAAAACTTTTTTTTTTCTTCTGTCTCTTCTATCATTCCTTATATAGAGAAATTAAAGAAAAATGCCAAAATTTCTACATATAATTTGTAGTCCAGCTCTAGCTGAAACAATTGAGGACATTATATTAAATAAATTTAGATGATGAATGATAAAAAAATTCTTTCTCTTCTGTTTCTTCTTCAATCCATCTTGTTTTTTCTTGAAATCTTTCTTCTTTCTTTCTGATCTTTACCACTTTCTTTCTTAACCCCTCACATTTAGTTATGAATGTCTTTAAATCAAAACCAAAGCATTTCTTTAACAACAGACTTGAAATTCATTTTTATACGACCGCAAACATTTTTTGGGATCGTATAATGGTATGATGTCATCGTCGTCGTCCGAAGACACATTGGTTTCCGGACAATAACTTTAGTTTAAGTGAATGGATCTCTATGAAATTTTTTAAGAAGGTTCAATACCACAAAAGAAAGGTTGGAATTGATTTTGGGGATGATGGTCGCAACCGTTTAGGAATTGGGGGCCCAAAAGGGGCCCAAAACAAGCATTTTTCTAGTTTCAGGATAATAATTTGTGTATAAGTATTTCGATTGCTCTGAAATTGTACGACAATGTTATATACCACAAGTAGAAGGTTGGGATTTATTTTAGGTGTTATGGGGCCAACAGTTTAGGAATTAAGGTCCAAAAACAAGCATGTTTCTAGTTTCCAGACAATAACTTGTGTTTAAGTGTATAGATCTCTCTGAAATTGTACTACAAGGTTCCAAACTACGAAGGAAAGGCTGAGTTCAAGTTTTGGGGTTATTGCTCCAAGGGGGGTTTCAAAAAGTTGGGGGGGTGGGATTTTTTTTCCCAATCTTTTTAGAGGATTCATATTTTTTTTTCAAAATTTTTGAAAAGTTTCAAGAAGTCTTCAATTGCACAGTATTGCGCAATAGATTTGTAAGATCTTTGACCACATTTATTTTGTGTCAGAAATCTATATTATGTCAAAAATTTGATCACAATTCAAATTCAGACATTATCAAGCTTGAATATTGTGTACAAATTTGTACCAACTGTTCGGTGTTCGACCTCTGCGGTCGTATCAGGCTGCGCTCAGCGAAGCATTTTATTTTTTTATGAATTAAGTACTCACTACCCTACTGGGGAATTTCTACTTTGCATAATTATAGTAAACAATCTTATATTTTATTAGCATATAATATTTCATAACTTGCATCAAGATTACAAATTAAGATGTGGTGTTATATGTTTTCATGATAACTGGATGAAATATCATTGGTTGGTAGAGTTAAATGGGAGAAGGCTATGTAGTGGAGTGTTTTTGAAGATTGTTTATGTTGTTCCATTTTATAAAACATTTGTGTTTTTTGTTGCATTGATGACATATTGTCCAGTTAATTTGTATGGTCAAATTATTGTTATGGACGTCACCATAGAACAAACACTTTAATATGTGAGATATGCCCATTGATACCATTTCCTGTAAGAATGTGTTTACAGATAAATTTGTGTTAGTGTATAAATTAGTCAATTAAACTGGGCATGCCTATATAAGGTCTTTTAATGAATTTAAAGCAGTTAATGGTATTTCACTAATATTTTTTAAATCTTCATACTTTTTTCGATTACCAGTCTGCATAAATTAATTTACTGAAAGTAAATAACTTCAACAGAGACATTCATGAAAAGTAAAAGAACATATGCAACAGTTTTTAAGTAGCCTATTATTTATTTGCTTAAAGGAATATAAATTTCTTATTTCTTTCAGTAGTTGTTGGTAATTGGTTTTAATGGCAGTATTTTATATTCTTTTTTAAAGGAGTATGTTGGGTAAGTGCCATATTTGGCCCTGAATATAAAGTACATTGTAATCTAATAAAAATGTTTCAAGTTGATGAAAAGACGTAAGAATGTAAGAAAGGGAAATAGAATTTTTCTTATAAAGTTTCGACATTTACTCCCCAAATAGGTAAAAATAAATAGAGTTTGGTGAATGTTGACTAAATCATCCAAATTAGGCCAAATTGAGCACAGGCTTTGACAAATTAAATATTTAAATCAGATATGCAAGTAAAAACAAGCATATTAAAAGAGATTTTTTATTGACACATTTGCTATATGTTTCCGTTCCTTAAAATAAATGTTAATTAATCTGTTTTCATTGAAATTTTGTGGAAATCTAAATTTGTGCTGTTTGTGATGTCATGAAAAGAATGCTTATACATAAATTTTCAATAAAAATACCTATTTCCTATCTAGTCATAGTTTAAGCTACGATTTGATGAGATATTGGTCAATAAATCCTAATCTTAAATTTGAGTTAAAACGAGAGGCCATATTAGGGCTTTATCCAATCTACTCCTTTATTCACTACCTTTCTTGATGGGGGCAATCAAGCTTGACATATTATATAGACAACAGTTTATTGTTGAACTCTAGATTTCTTTTGAATTGTTTGTATTGTTGGGTATGGTCAGTGATAATTTGAAACCAGACACAGAAAATATTTCATTCTCATCTGCTCCAGTATCTCTTATTTATGGTTTGAGGCCTATTTTGTTTGTCAACATTGTAGCTAAATGTTTGCTGCTTTTGCAAGAAAACTAAACCTACTGTCTCTATCATTATTGTGGTTTTTAAGAACTTCTCACTTCTCTCAATGAGAAAAAATTGTTTTGTTTGTGATTTTGGTTGAAGAGCACTCAAATGATGTCGTACAAAGAGTGGTTTTAGGTGACATAATTTTTTCAATCCAACCATATTACTTTTCATTAGTTAAACCAAGGAAATTAAAATTTATAATTGTGAAACTATTTTAAGAAGGTACTCTTTGAAATAAGTAAATAAATGTATGTTGAAAAAATGGTTGCATATGACCTTTGAGCTTATTCTAAAAGTTACAAAGGTAAATTTTCTTACAGGAATTTGTAGTACAATAGAGGGTGGAAATCCCCTGTAAGTCACATGACAACACTGGAATTTGTAGTACAATAAAGGGTGGAAATCCCCTGTAAGTCACACAAGACAATAGTGTTAAATGGATTTCTTTAATTACTGACAATTTTTCCTACCAAAAGCAAAACAAGATTGTTGGATAGTTGTCTCATTGGCAGTCATACAACATCTCGTTATTTTTATATATAGAAAATTAATCTCTACTTTTTTTTTAGGAATTCATTCCAAATTAATAGGACATTTTTTTACTGTTTATATTGGATAAGACTTTTTTCTACTGTTAAAACACAATTATTTATTGGTAGTTCATATTACACCAACAAAACAGTCTTTCATACAATGTATAATAAATATTTGACAATTTACAATAGTGTTTCTTCATTAATTTGCCATAATAATGTCCATCAGTTCTCCAAATTAGAGAAAGAAAATTATTTATAAAAGTTATCACAGATGTAGCACAAACTGGTCAATATGGTCAGTAGTCCCTCTCTGGTAGCCAAACTGGTCCATATGGTCAGAAGTCCCTCTCTAGTAACGAGAAATCTGAAATACAATTACAATTCATCATTAAACAAGGACACAAAGCAGAAAACATAAAATCTTAGAATGCTCCAATGTTCATTAAGTAAAGTCTGTCAGTTACTTTAGGTATAGTGTGTAGAATGAATGCTGCCCAGGATATAACATAATAAACTGTAGTAAGCTTTAAATAGTGCTAGACTACAGATACATGCATTATTTTGCATACTATGGTCTGATGATTCATTGTGGTTTTTAACCGAATTTCCAAAGGAAAATATCAGTGAATAATTTGGTGATGTACAGCGGCCAGGTAGTCGGCTGCCAAACAGTGTCTGTGCAATAACTTGATAACGCTTTGACGAAATCTTTTAAAATTTAGATATGTTGTTTCCTATGACCAAAAAAAGGGTCAAGTTCGAATTTCAAGATTTAGCTTTTATTGTTGATGAGTTATAGACCTTTAAGTAGCGTAAAGAGATACTTAGAGTGTTGTCCATGTGATAACTTGAAAAGGCTTCGATGAAAATCTTGTGATACTTTGAAGAAACAAGACAATAACTTTTTGAAAGTGGGTTTCTAGAAATCTATTGGAGTGACCACAAGATTCTAGAGTTTTATATTAAATAAGGTTGCAATCTCATATACATATTTCTTTCAGTATTGAATTTATGATTTCTGTCTACCCACCGGGCCTGAACAAATGTGTGTGTACTTATATACTCTCCAATATTATGTCACTTAAGATTAATAGGTCAAGATTGATTTTGGCCTTTCCATTTCTGAACCCTATAAAAATTCATTTATTATGCCCCCGCAACTAAAAGTGGGGGGCATATTGTCTTACCCCTGTCCGTCCATCTGTCCCATTATGGGTATATAGTTATCCACATAACTTCTCCTACAGTTTGAATGCTAGGAAGTTTTCACTTTGCTGGCTGTTTGTACTTATATTGAAGGTGTGCATGTGGTCAGGGTTTTGATTTTTATTAATATTTGCTCTTTTGGGAGATAGTTGAACTTTGTCACTTTTATGCCGCCGCCATAGCGGAGGGGGCATTAAGTTTTACACATGTCCGTCTGTACCTCTGTACGTCCCAAAATTGGTTTCCGTTCTCTAACTTAAGTTTGCCTCAACCAAATGTTATGAAACTTATACACAATGCTTATTACCACAAAACACAGATCAAGTTTGAATTTTGGTGATGTCACTTTAACCGTTCTAGATACCGGTATATGCCCCTTAACAAATGGAAAAATTGCTGAATTTTTCGTTTCCGTTCTCTAACTTAGTTTGCCTTAACCAAATGTTATGAAACTTATACACAATGCTTAATACCACAAAACACAGATCAAGTTTGAATTTTTGTGGTGTCATTTTTAACGTTCTAGAGTTATGCCCCTTTACAAATGGAAAAAATGCTGAATTTTTAGTTTCCGTTCTCTAACTTAAGTTTGCCTCAACCAAATGTTATGAAACTTATAAACAATGCTTATTACCACAAAACTCAGATCAAGTACAAATTTGGGTAGCGTCACTTTTACAGTTCTTGAGTTATGTCCCTTTATAAGGTTATATGCAGTGGGGGCATCATCTGTGTCCCATGGACACATTCCTCATTTATTTGTATTTTAAAATAATACTTTGCATCTGCAGGGGCATCATTTGTGTCTCCCAGAAACAATAATATCTCAAAGAAAGTCCTACATTGGCTTTGTTATAATACAGTTACTTCAGAATGGAGTGCGGGGGCATCACTTTGTCTAGTTTTTTTTTACTGATCCTGTTAAGGAGTCTAGATTTGCAAATATCATTTTCATGCAGGAAAATCTGGTTTGCTGTCAATCTGACAGCCTCTTGTTTGTGATTCCACAAGTTTCTATAAAACATGTTATAGTGTATATATTTGGTTAAAAGATTCATTGTTGTGTGTGCATGCCTGTATGAACCTTTATTTCCATTGTTCATTCATTCCTATTTAGTTTTCAAAAGATCAGTATTTCAGTTATTGTAAGTGAAACATTAACAGGTCCTAGTTGTACATGGCTAGATAACATTGGTCACATCAACATATATATAGATAAATAGAGAGGTGGAGTATATTTTAATGCGACAGCAGCCTGGCAACACAAAAATCCTAATGACAGCTAGAGGTTAAAATGACCTCAGTTTTATGTTGAATGATTTTTCTAATTTTAATGCCAAATTAGAGTTTTGACCCCAATTTCATGGTCCACTGAAAATAGAAAATGATAGCATCCGTGTACTATGGACACATTCTTGTTTTCTGTGATATCATTATATAGGTCCCTATTCAGTAATTGATCTTGTAAATCTTCCTGATGCT